AAGCATTGCACTGTGGTCAGATGAGGGTATGAAATGTTGGTGTAAAACAGTGTTTTGCCTTTTGGGAAAAGTAATAGGAGCTTTTAATACACATTGACTCAACATTGCTTTTTTTTTTATGAGGAACCTACGAAGCAGAGTCACTAGGCATAAAGCTCATGGAATACTCTTTAAATTATCCTATATAATAGTATAAAATCAGAAACACCTGAAGCCTGATAAGAGCATGATTAAATATTTCTGGTGCACTATTGTGTATTATCAATCCACTTAAAATCATTCTTTAGGGCGGGCACAGTGGCTCACGCCTGTAATCCCAGCACTTTGGGAGGCCGAGGCGGGCGGATCACGAGGTCAGGAGATCGAGACCATCCTGCCTAACACCGTGAAGCCCTGTCTCTACTAAAAATCCAGAAAATTAGCTGGGCATGGTGGCACGTGCCTGTTGTCCCAGCTACTCGGGAGGCATGAGGCAGGAGAATCGCTCGAATCCCAGAGGTGGAGGTTGCAGTGAGCTGAGATTGTGCCACTGCCCCCCAGCCTGGGCGACAGTGCGAGACTCCATTGCAAAAAAAAAAAAAATTAAAAAAAAAAATTTAAAGAACACAAGGAAAAAGCTCATACAACAGTGTTTAGAGAAGTGTGAACTGTTTGAGTCTAAAGGTAACTCCATTTTCTTAAACTTATTAGAGGGAAATAAAGTTGACTCCTGAACTCAGAAGTCAGTGGTACCAGCCCCTAGGCAGCCAAAAATCCACGTATAACTTTTGACTCCCACACTGATAGGCAACTATTGACCAGAAGCCTTATCAACGAAGTCAATTAACACATAAGTAGACGAACATCTGTATTGTATGCGTTCACGACATATCTGACTTTAATTTTTTAAGTATTTCTAGGCTGCCTGGTTCATCCACAAGTTGTCATACGTCTCCCCCAAAATTCTCCAATATATTTATTTTTGAAACTTCATGTAGAAATGGACCCACGCAGTTCAAACCTGTGTTGTTCACGGGTCTACTGTGAATCTGTTAAACACATTTGTGTGACACAAGTGTTTTCTTTTAAATCTTGTGTTGGTGTTTTTCCTCCCTAAGCGAACACAAGTAGATTAGGGATTAATAAGTTAAACCTCACCAAGTCCAACCCTTCCCCAAATTCTTCCCTCGTTTGACTTCTATTTCACCATTGCCTTTCTTTGAGCCCTGTCCTTGTAACTGAGACTTATTCTGAGCGACTTCCGAGTTCAGGAGTCAACTGTATTTCCTTCTAGTGATACGTTTGTCTAAGAAAGTGGAGATATCTTGAGACGCAAACAGTCCGTATTTCCCTAAACACTGTTGTATAAGCTTTGTGTTCTTTAAAGTATGATTTTTAAGTGGGTTGGTCATAATGCACCAGAAATATTTAATCATGCCCCTTCTCAGTCTTCAGGTATTTCTGATTTTATACTATGACATAGGATAACTCAAGGAAAATTCGATAAGATTTATGCCTAGTGACTGCTTCATAGCTTCCTCAAAAAAAAAAAAAAAAAAAGCAATGTTGAGTCAGTGTGTGTTAAAAGCTTTCATTACTTACTTTTCCCGAACAGCAAAACACTGTTTACACCAACATTTCCTACACTCTTCTGACCACGCTGCAATGCTTTTTAAGTTGATTGCTGGAATTTGCTGTTGACTGAGCTATAAAGTGCCAACTGCACTATGAGGTAAGCTCCAACACCTGCACAAAAGCTGCCATGACAGCATTGCACGTCCCGAGTCGGCGTTGCATCAGAATAGCTGATCACCGCACAGCTGGACACTTCAAGCACCTTTGACCAGACCTTCTCAAGCACTGAGACACAAGGGAATCACCTGGGGAGTCCTCAAAAACCCCAGTGTCCGGAAATACAGACACTGATTAAATTAGAGACTTTGGAGGTTGGGCCCAGGAATCAGTGGATTGTTTCAGTCCCCACTGTAAATTCAGCACTCGAATCAATTTGTAAACTAAAAATAATATGTTAAGACCCCCCCCCCGCCCCCACCCAACCAACTGAGTGGACCCCCTCCCTCCTGGCCAAGGGGACCTGAGAGATACTTGAAAAACAGAATTATTGACCATGGCAGGAAGGAAGGTCAAACTTCCTCCCATCTCTTTCCTTTCATAGCCGGCACAACTCATGGGCATTAACATTAAAATAGAGCTCAGGGCCAGGTGCGGGCGCTCACACCTGTAATCCCAGCACTTTAACAGGTCAGGAGTTCGAGACCAGCCTGGCCAATATGGCAAAACTCCATCTCTACTAAAAATACAAAAATTAGCCAGATATGGTGGCGTGTGCCTGTCATCCCTGCTATTTGGGACTCTGAGGTGGGAGAATCGCTTGAACCCGGGAGGCAGAAGTTGCAGTGAGCCGAGATTGAGCCACTGCACTCCAGCCTGGGTGACACAGCGAGACTCCATCTCAAAATAAAATAAAAATAAAATAAAATAGAGCGCAGAAGATGGACAGAAGAGATTCTTTGTGGCAATAAGATACCAGATTATAAACAAGACCTAAGGCAATGCCAGGCAAGGATTAAGTCTTTCTCATGTGAAAAAAATCTCATGAAATGGCTAAGAAGAAAAAAACAAGAAAAACACTTAGTGTAAGATGGCTTATGTTCCAGCCTGACTCTGGTATCACATCACATGACAGATAGCAGCCCCCCTCACTGCCCCAACTGAAGCATTGCTTTCTACTGACTCCAAGTCTCTGGACAAAGCTTAACTCTTTCAACCAATTGCCAACGAAAGATTTCCTGAACTCCCCCCACTTGTAAGCTCCCACTTCGAGACATCCCACCTTCTCGGGCCAAACCAATGTACAATCTCCATTTATTGATTTATGATGTTGCTTGTAACTTCTACTTCCCCAAAATATACACAAATAGTTGTGACCTGACTGCCTGGGGACCACCTCCTCCAGGCTTCCTGTGTGTGCGTTTTTTCCTGGGCCACAGTCGCTCACGTTGGCTCAGAATCAACCTCTTTAAAGTATTTTACAGAGTTTGGTTTTTCCGTCAACAAATTAATACCTTAGAGTTGAGCATTCTTAAAAGCAGGGAAGCTACCTGAGTGCTTAAAGTATCCTTTCCTCCCGCCATTTGCAGCCACATGGGTGGAACTGGAGATCATGATGTTAAGTGAAATAAGCCAGGCACAGAAAATACATGTCGTGTGTTCCCACTCATGTGAAAGCTAAAAACGTTGACCTCATGAAGGTAGAAAGTGGAGATAGTTACCAGAGGCTGGAAAGGATGTGAGGATGCAAAAGAAGTTGGTTAATAGGCACAAACATGCAGTCAGATGGCAGGAATAAGTTCTAATGTTTGTTAGCAGAGAAGGCTGACTATAGTGAAGAATGTATTATTTATTTCAGAATAACTAGAAGACAGAAATTGAAATGTTTCCAACACATAGAAATAATACTTGAGGTGATGGATATTCTAAATACCCTGACTTGATCATTACACATATTATGCCTGTAACATCACATGTACCCCATAAATATTATGTATCAATTTACTTTTAAAAAAATTCTTGGCCAGGCCTGGTGGCTCACGCCTGTAATCCCAGCACTTTGGGAGGTTGAGGTGGGCAGATCACGAAGTCAGGAGATCAAGACCAGCTTGGCTAACATAGTGAAACCCTGTCTCTATTAAAAATACAAAAAATTAGCCGGGCGTGGTGGTGGGCGCCTGTAGTCCCAGCTACTTGGGAGGCTGAGGAGGGGAATGGTGTGAACCCAGGAGGCGGAGCTTGCAGTGAGCCGAGATTGTGCCACTGCACTCCAGCCTGGGCGACAGAGCGAGACTCTGTCTCAAAGTAAATAAAAAATAATAACTACAATAAAAACATTCTTTTTGTCTCTAACACTTTATACATCACATGGAAGAATGGCATCTATAAGGCTACAATGATGAGTTAGCTACGTTTAAACACTCCACCCACAACGCACATACACTTCAAAACATCATGCTGCACACAATACATGCAATTTTATCTGTCACCTTAAATAAGTTTACAAAAAAAAAAAAAAGAAGCATGACACAAGTTCACCCATGTGAACTTGAAAAAGGTAAAACAGTTTGGCCTGCCCTTAGTACCTTTAGTCATTGCATCCCCCCACCGTATTACTTCCAGCTCCTAACCAAAGAGAAAGCTAAAGAACCAATATAACGTCATAAAAAAGACCTTAAAATTCAAAGAAGCAAATCGGCCAGAAAGGTAACTCACCAACCCTGCCACCAGGTCTCCTTGGCTGATCGAAAGCAAACAAGCCAGGAAATGGGAAGAAAAAGGCAGTGCCTGCCCTGTGATTAGCCAGCTGATTCCTCTCTTGATTGGCCAAAGTGGGTTCTTGATGACCTTCACGATGGAGGGGGAATACTCCTGCACCTGCGTGTTCCTGCCCCAGATGCCCCAGTTGTCTTCCTCCACCCAGGACTGAATAGGGTCTGCTGATTAGAAGACAGTGCAGACCCCGTTTATGATGCTGGAGCTCGCAGGGCATCTGACCGAGAACCTCCGAAACAATTGATTTAGGCGGTGCCGGGGGGAAAGAAGTTCTCCACCGATAATCTCCATTTTGGATAACCATCTCTGCAATAAGCTCCATGAGGGGAATACGCTGTTTAGTCTACACCACCACCTGGCAAGGATCCTTTCAAATCTGAGGGAGGCCATAAATATTTGTGGAATGAATGCAACCAAAGGGATGTTTAACAGGTGATAGAATTTGCAGAGACACTTCCTAGATCCTCCACCCAGGGGGCCTGGCTTGGCAGCCTATTGGAATCACTTGGAGGCCTTTAATGATTGACTGATAACTCACTGCCATGTGCAGGTGTCTGCTTTGGTCAGGAGAGAGAATGCTCTGAGTATGACTGATCAATATAGCTCCTCATATTGGACAGATTAAAGAAAAACAGGGGCATCTTCATAGGTACGAAAGGGGAAATATAAGAGAGTCTATATCTCTTCATGCTTTTAGATGTATCTTTGTAAATTAGGAAATAAAAGAATTTCCTTCACCCAGTAAAGCATTCCAAAGAAGCAAAAGCCACCAAAAATCTCATAATGGATGGGAAAATGATGAAAGAATATCTTTTACAATAAGACGCAAGACAAACATGGCCTCCGTCCCCACTCTTGTTTCAACACAGTGCACCTGTTCACTGGGGCATGAAAACGGATCTGAAAGAAAGAGGCGAAATTATCATATTGGAGATAATTTGAATATCCCTGCAAACTCTCTCCCCTTAAATCTATTGATAAATGGTTAGGATTCAAAGCAGATTTGGTGAATATAAATCAACATACAAATCTGATTGTATTTCTCTAAAAAAAAAAACTAATTGGAATTTAAAATTTTAAAGGATGCCACGTGCAGTTCCAAGAAAAATCTAAACTAGAAATAATTCTTATAAGAGATTGTAAACCTTAATGAATGTGATATAGAATTTTACTGCCATATACAAGATCCTTATAAATGAAGGATAACATTACATTCTTGTACAGGAATTATTATTAAGAAGATGTCAATATGCTCCCAAATAGACCTTTATATTCAGGAAAACAATAAAATCCCAATAGAAATTTTCATATCAAAATATAATTCTGAAATGTATGTGGAAAATAGAAGGGACTAGTACAAGCCAGGAGATGCCTGAAGAACACAGGTGGGTGGGAGGGGGGAAAGTTGATTGAACTGGATCCACCCTATGAAGATTTAATTAAAAACTATGGTAATTAAGACTTATTGGTTGGCCAGGCATGGTGGCTTATGCCTGTAATCCCAGCACTTTGGGAGGCCGAGGCGAGCGGATCATGAGGTGGGGAGATCGAGACCATCCTGGTTAACATGGTGAAACCCCGTCTCTACTAAAAATGCAAAAATTAGCTGGGCATGGTGGTGGGTGCCTGTAGTCCCAGCTACTCGGGAGGCTGAGGTGGGAGGATTACTTGAGCCTGGGAGACGGAGGTTACAGTGAGCCAAGATCATGCCACTGCACTCTAGCCTGGGCGACAGAGAGAGACTCTGTCTCAAAAAAAAAAAAAAAAAGACTTATTGGCACATAGATGAGCAAATACATAGTGACACAAAACATAGAACCCAGAAACAAATGTAGGTAAATATGAAAAGATGGTTTATAACAGATTTCTGGGCAGTAGAGTAGGTGAAC